GAAAGAAAGAAAGAAAGAAAGAAAGAAAGAAAGAAAGAAAGAAAGAAAGAAAGAAAGAAAGAAAGAAAGAAAGAAAAAGAGAAGAGGCTTGTATTTTTACTTGACTTCAAGGGTATTTGGTGATGATCACTGTTTCACAATAACTTCTTTTTCAATGCTCATTTAGTGTTGTGTGCTCCTTCTACACTTACAGTTTGTGCTGAGGCTCATCCTGATGTCTGTCTCCTTAAAGTTCTCCACTTGAGCAAGTGCCCAGGAACTTTCTGCTTGTGATGTGACTTGTTCCTTCCAGGGAGAACTGCTCTATACTGACTGCATCTGAATGGCTTATTTGGGGTGGTCCAACTGATCCATCTGCCATAAATAGAGAAACTGCTAGGGCAGAACAAAAGGCAGAGCAGGTCCTTCAGGACTATGTCAAAAGCAATTTTAGCATTTACAAGTTAACATTCATTGTTATATATCACTTAAACAAAATAGGAAAGGTATGAACACCAGGGGAGAAAAAGGAGAATGAGCTCCCCCTGAGAAAAAGGACTTGTTTTTCCACATTACTTTTCTGTATGTGTGTTCTGAAAACAGAAACATGGCTAGAATATTTGTAAGTTTGTAGTTTGTCACTGGACAAATGCTTTCTTATTTAACCATGAGGTGCACTGAGAACATTTCATCCCAGCCTCAAAACTATCTGGTACTATGAGAAAGAAATCGATACTGGCCTGAAATATTTAAGATCCACTCATTTGGAGCTTGTCTCCTGATATGTACCTTAAAAAGGTGTATCAGCAGCAGGAAGTACAAGGGATTCTGTTAACATCTCAGTTGGTCAACCATGAATAAGTTAACCTTCAATGGGTTGTACCAACACAGCCTACAAGTTAGACCACCTGAATTCTGTAGGGTTTAGTTTCAAGTCATGCACAGAGCGCTATTTGAGATCTTGGTCTGCAGGAGCAGGACAATTAGGTGACAGTGTTTTATTTCAGTTCATACTGCGGGATTGGAATGCTGTCTGTTCCCTGCCCCGTTTGACCAACTAAATAAATCTCATCCCTCTTTGCAAATAAAAGGCAGCATGTCAAGGAAAAATGTTATATACAATTTACTTTACCAACTGCTAGTTGCAGTAGTATTTACCCAGGGAAGTGTCCAAAAATGTGATCTTCTTCTGGATGACATTTGATCAAGTCTGAAGTCGCACAGTCCATTCATCACCTCTGAACTCAAACTGGCTAACTAACTAGCAGTGTTGCAACAGGAGCACAGAAGAGCATTTTAAAGGGGGTGGGGGCAGGGGGTGGTGAAATCCAGTAGGGAACATTTGGAACAAACAAGGAGTTGCTCTACAGTACTCTTTTCACACCCTCCTCCTCCTCCTCCCTTTGTGGCACTATGAGTTTCCAAATGCTGTTTGTAGATCACATCGTTTACTCAGACATAGCTAGACCACACTTTGGGGGGACTTTAGTGGTGGCAAACCTGAAGGAAACCTTGTTCGCCTCCAGATGGTAATGAATCAGGTGAGGGTTTCTGGTGGCAGATCAGCCCTTAGTGATCTTGTTTCCCCTTGCTTCATTAATTTTGGGGGGGGGGAGTGGGAGAGCCTGAATGCAATTAAAACTATGCAATCCATCCTAGAGGACTCGGTTTTGGGGCTCCATTTGTACTTGAAGCCACCCCTCAACTTTCTTCTCATTGGATAAGAGTTTCATAATTTTAATGGGTGTGGGAGTGTGTGTGTCAGAATATAAGAGTAATTAACTACTTCATAAATGCTTGCTGTTTTAACTCTGCACGTTCATATAAAATCCATCTGTTCATGGTTTGAATATTTAGTTGCATGTAGTTCCTGTTTGGAAAAGAAAACTTGCACAACTTTGCTGGAATGACAATCCTGCAGAACCCCTGATGTTGATGTTAAATCAGCAATCCCTCCAGCACACTTCCGAGCAAGTGCTGTTGAATGGAGTGAAATTTAATCTTCAGTAAACATACATAATCTTGTGCTGCACAGGCATGATCCAGCTCAAGCGAAAACGTTTTAAATTCCAATGTCCGGAACAGTTGGATAGCTGATGAGTTTCTTTTAGGGGAGTGTTAAAGGCACAGAAACAAAAATGATTTCCAGGCGTGGCTGTACGAATGGGTTGCAACTAAAACAGTTCAGAGACTTTTTTAAATTACACATTCATCGCGAACTTCTCCAACCTGGTGCTCCCCAAACACGTTGGACTCTTAACTCCTATTATCCCCAAGCAGCTCGGCCTTCAGTTATTATGGCTGGTAGTAGTAGAAGCCTACTTCATCAGACGCATACTCATACCTTCAACTGGCAGGTTTAGACGTGCCATGGAAAGCGGGAAAAAATGGTTAAGCGAGAATCAAATAGCAGCGGAATGCGAAAAAATCAAATCAATTCGATTAAAGCTAAAAAGGGGGGTTTGGTCGGGGGACGGTTGTTGTTTTCAATACGCTCTGTTAATGTTGACCTCGGTACTGTCAGAACTAGGAGAAAACTGAACTTGGCTTGCCAGTTCTAAGAAGTGAGCGAAACGTTGCATAACGTGAAGCATTCCAGCCATCTAGATAGCTGGCAAACTGAACTGCAGCCGACATTTACCAAAAGCGGAAAGATTTGTCTTCCGAAGAAACGCACATTTTCCCCAAGCCGGATTCGGCCAACCGACCCGCGCTGAGGCCGCAAGGAAACCAGCTCCCCCTCCGCATCGCGCTCCGACTCATCTAAGGAAGCAAAGAATCCGGAGCCAAGTGAGAGGAAGGAGGAGTTTCCTCTGACACGGGCTCTTGGTGTCCATCATCGCCCAAGCCCCGCCCTCCGCCCAATAGGAGGCCTGCGCCGCTCTGATTGATGGGTCCGTGCGCGAGTCCCCCGCAGGGGATGTTTCTCTCCTAGCACGAGGGGGTTAACCGAGGAGTCCGGGCACAGTAACTTGGTGCGTTTCTCTTGACGCGCGCCCCGGACGTCCCCGGGACTGGAGCGTCAACTGAGCATCAAAGGGCTGGCGCTCCCCGTTCCAGCGCCCCCCGCCCCGTCCGACAGAGGCACACAAGGAGGCG